CTGACTGGCTCTAATGCAAACCCAAAGACTCTATGTCGAAAAAAACCCAACGCCCAACACCAGTTGTTCAAAACAAATGCCCCAAGCACAGCGGCTTTCCTCCCAAACAAAATGAGACACACTCACTCCCCTGGTCAAACGCTCCTATGCAGCATTCCTCATGGCACCAGCCTCCAGCTCTCTGCCCAGGGGAATCTCAACGTCCTTGGCGGGCTCCTTGGCGCCCAGCGCCCTCCGCGCCCTCACCTGCCCGGTGACAACGTCCTCCCTCGTGACGCCCAGCTTGTCCTCGTCCAGGCCCATGGACCTCATGAAGCGCACGGTATCCCGCCACTCCTGCTCCTTGCGCGACTCGGACCACGCGAGCTCCTCGGCCAAGACGTCAATGACGCGCGGCAAAGCGTGCAGGGCGACGTCCACGTCCAAAAAGGCCAGCCTCGTCCGGCGGGCAATCACGTCGGCCGCGGTGCACGCGGCCTCGGAGCGCACGGCGTGCCGCAGCTCCGACTCGATAAACGGGAACGACGGGGCGACGCGCGAGACCGAGGGAGAGGCGGCGAGGACGGCCCACGCCCGGTCGCCGTAGTTGGTGGCCAGGTGGTGCGCGACGTCGGCGTCGATGGGGTACACCTCCATCAGCTGCGACGGCAGCGAGGCCGAGAAGCCGTGCGCGCCGAGGACAGGCGTGGACAGCGTCCTGCACCGGCCGTTGGTGATGAGGCCCGGGAGCTGGTGGCCGCTGATGTCGGGCAGCGCGACGGGCCGGGGCGTCAGGCCAAAGGCCCCGATGGCCTCGTCGACGGCGTCCTCGGCCATTTGGCGGTACGTCGTCCACTTGCCGCCGGCGCAGGTGAGCAGGCCCGAGGGGGAGACGGTGACGAGGTGCGAGCGCACCAGGGACTCGGTGTTGCCTGCCTTGGGGTCACGAACCAGCGGGCGAATGCCTGCCGTCTCGTCAGCACACGGCTCGGCAAGCCAGGAAGGTTGAAAAAAAAAAGGGGGGGGGGGGACATAAGTACTCACCGGACCAGGTGGCCAAAACATCGTCGCGGGTCAAGACGCTCTCGGGCTCCAGAAGCTTGCTGACCTCCTTCAAGATAAAGTCGACGTCGTCTTGTCTTGCCACGGGCTCCCTCTCCACCGCGGACGCATTGTCCGTCGTTCCCGCAACCGTCATTCCCTGCCAGGGCAAAACAAACACGACGCGTCCGTCAGAGGTGGCAGCGTCCAGGATGCCCATTCCCTTGGGGCACAGCTTTCCCGGAAGCATGACGTGGGCGCCAGAGGCCGGGGCGATGATCTCCTTGCGCTGGGGGTCGTCCATGCGCTCAATGGCATCGGCAAAGGGACCGGTGGCGTTGATGACGCCCTTTGTGCGCACGGAAAAGGGCCGCGACGACGATTCCTCGCCGCCCATGAGATCGCGGACCGTGGCGCCGCAAATCTTGCCGTCGGCGTCCTTTTCAAGGGCAGTTACTTCGACGTGGTTCAGCACGGTGGCGCCGTACAGGGAGGCGGTCAGGGCGAGAGAGACGTTCATGCGGGAGTCGTTGTGCTGGCCGTCGTAGTAGACCAGGGCGCCGACGAGCTTGTCCCTCTTGAGCAGCGGGAACGCGTCAATGGCCTTGGTCCGGCTGAGGAGGTAGGACGACTCCAGGCCTTGGGAACCGGCGAGCAGGTCGTACATTTTGCAACCGGCCCAGAGGTAGGGCGCCTGGAACCAGCTCTGCAGGGGCAGCAGGATGGGCAGGGAGCTGGACAGGTGCGGCGCGATGTTCAGGAAGCCCCTGCGCTCGCGGAGAGCCTCGATGACGAGCTCCAGCTGCGGGTAGTCGAGGTTCCAGACGGCCTTTTCGAGATACCTTACGCCGCCGTGGACGAGCTTGGTGCTCTTGGAGCTCGTGCCGGCGGAGAAGTCGTCGCGCTCGACCAGGGCGACCTTGAGGCCGCGGGTCACGGCATCCAGAGCAATGCCCGTGCCCGTGGCACCGCCTCCGATGATGAGGATGTCATACTCGGCGTCTTTGGCGTTATGTTTTCGTAGCTCGGCGAGCTGCTCGGCTCGGGATCTGATGGGTGGAAAGGTGGGAGGGACGATTTTGCCGTTGGGGTCGCGGCGCGGCGGAACGAGAGCCCTCTCGTGCGACAGGTTCTTGTTGGCGCGGGAGTAGATGACTGTTCCGCCAAGTGTGACGGCCGTGACGGCGGTAGCTGCGGCGACGGGACGCCAGAGCTTGGTGAGTCGAGGCGGCATGCCTGATGTGTGCGGCCGGGGATGTTGATGTCGATGTCGACGGGCTGAGACGTGTTTTTTCGTGTGAGGGAGGCGGCTCCAAGGGGCGCAAGGATATATATAGAAATGATGCCAGTAGGAAAGAAAGAGAAAAGAGACGAAAGAATGAAAACAATCAAGTTAAAAAAAGAAAGGAAAAGATGGCGCCGGAGATAACAAACCACGGACACCAGAGCCGTCGATATATTTGTCGTCAGTCACCGAACCGAGCCCATAAAAAACGGGGGCCAGCGGGTTCGGTGTCCAAATGCCGGGCTTCTTGTTCGTCGCCAGGTTTCACTTGTGGGAACAAACTCGCACCGCCGCGGGGAATGAGAACAGTTGACGCCTTTCACAAGACAGTCGACGTCGTTTCCCACCAACGGAGCGTCCCACGTGCGGCTTTATGACGGCCCGCACTCTGGCTAGCATTGACGGCCGAAATGTGCTGACATGATTGGCGGAAACACCAACGTCGTGTTTTAGCCGAGTCAAGAAGCTGTCGACTTGTGCTACGGCAATACTACTACGATACAAGGCCAACGGAGGTGTCGAGGTGGTGATGGGCAACCTGATGCCGAATGAATGGCTGCATGTGCCCAGTATCTACTACACACTCTTTGCCGTGGTGGGCCCCTTTTCCGATACAGCCTCGAGTTGGACGATTATATCATCACGTCGACTAACTGTGCATGTGGTCAGTTGCGCTGTGCATCACGCAGAGCCGCAGGCCCGATGACGAGCATCAAGCTCATGCACGTCGGTATTTGGCCCCCGAGCCCATCCGACTTGCGGGTCGATAGCCGAAACCAGGCACTGGGATCAAATCCATGTTTTGCGTCGCTCGGTATTCCCTCGCCGAGATCTGGCCTTCAAAGCGCTCTTGTACCACCCCACTCACAGGGTGGGCCGCCCGCTTCGCTCGGGCTCGCTATACCGACCCAAACCCGAAAGTCTATTTTTTTCACCTTTGCTTTGATCAATGTGGCTCATCCACTCAATAGTCGCCGACGGGTAAAAAAAAAACATTTGAGGCTCCATTCTTCCAACTCGCCCAAATGTCCGCCGCTTTCATCATGGTTCCTGGCAGGACCCAGCTCAGCACGCCACTTCCGCCCACTCGTCCAAAAGTCCGTTTCTCACCTTTTTTCTCCGACCCAGGCCCACGGCAGCTGGGAAATTGCCAAAACTCCGGCCGAACCCAGTTCCAACAGTCTCCAGTCTGCTCTCCACTCCTCTCTAACACTGTACCCGGCAAGTAAGGACGAACGGACAAAACGCCACCGAACTACTCTGTACGGAGTACTCCGCACCGCCACCAGGAACCCCTGGCCTAGCAATCCTTCTGGAATCCTTCTACCTCCTGTGGCGCCGCTTACATACACACCTCGGCCCATTTTGAACCAGACGTCGTGTCAGTCCATCGCCCATACGGTCTACACACACCGACGGTGAACCGAGTTCACGCCTCTACTCCATGTTGTCAAAACGGCATGCAGACGCACACGGGGTCCCATGTCCATGGCAAGCATCCATGGGCTACAGAAACAACGTGACGAAACCGTTTTATGCTCGCCCACGTGCGCAGCCCAAAAATCCATGTCGTCCCCGCAATCAGCTAGCAACTCTAGAAACCCCCGGTATGCCTTGGTGCTTTCTCCAGGACAGACGCTGGGGGCGCGATGGTAGCATTCGCAATAAGCCGAGGCATGCTGCTCATGCAAGCCCTCCCTACTCTGCTAGTTGAACCCTCCTGAAAAAAAATCACCGCTTGGAAAAAAAAGAGGAAATGCCGCCAGGAGTACTGCTGACATGATTTGAAAATTACACCCCGCCAGACCAACAACATGCTGTTCCTCACGTCCATCAATTCGCTCTGGCGACTCGAGTAGCACAAAGGTCACATGGCAGACTGGCCAGCCCATCATTTTACGGAGGCATGTACACGGAAGCATACTCTGCCCTCCGCCCCTGACTCCTAACCACCCAACACCAGCTGATTCAGTTCTCGACTCTCGCCAGACCCGAATATCGAAGCGGATTGCCCCCCGTGCAATCCACCCCTCGTACCATGTTTCCCCATCTTCCTAATGCACGATATCGCCCTGGCCAATATTCCGCGGCACACGCCCGGGACCCATGGCCTTCTATTCGTGCATTATCACATGCTCCGTTTTGCTCTTGCCGACAGGCCCAAGATGGGCTTACCAGTGTACGTACATACGAGCTATATCGACAACACCACGAGCTGTGTCTAGTTTCACTGGTTTGCAGGTAACCACTAGGATACTACCGAGATCACGTAGACGATGTCCCAGGGTTACAAACGGATACAGAAGTAACCGACACGTCAATAAGTAAACAGAATCGCAAGATTAAACGCTGCAATAAATTTGATTTGCTCAGAATCCCACTATACCTGGCCCGCCGTAACACCCTCCATCCCATCCCGTACATACTTGTACTTGTGAACCCGTACGATATCATTTCAGAAAAGAAGAAAAAGATTAAATAAAACGCCCAAATGCAAACAAGATTAGCGCTGAAAATAAAAAATATCAGGCTTTTTCTGTTGTCATGTTTTTTTCCGCTTGGGTCCTCCTGTTTTGCCCCCGTATCTGTTCCTTGAAATAAAATGCTTCTGTAGTCTACGTGACTTTATATTTTTTCGCGTGGCAGGCCCGTCCGGGATGCCGTGTGAAGTATGAAAAAAGTGCGGAAAACCCGCCTATACTTTGGACTCTGGAGACTTGTTGTACGTGTTTGACCACACGCTGCGGCGGGGTTTGAGGAGCCGGTTGAATCCAAGGTAGGGGGAGTTGATGGGCGATTCGCCCGTGTAGATGAAGAGGTCGTAGAGACCGCCGCCGGCGAGGCAGCCCAGGAAAGGGGCAACCATGGGAATCTAAAGTCTGTTAGTTCCGGCTCGACATGAATTTCTTCTTTCTTTTCACACCGTTGTTGCTGCTGCCAAGTGTGTGTGTAATAATAAAGGGGATAAGACAAAAAAACATACCCAAAAGTAGTAGCCGCCAAAGGAAAACACCTCGGGGCCATAGCCAATCATGTAGGTGACCAGACGGGGACCAAAGTCGCGAGCCAGGTTAATAGCATAGCCAGTCTCCCAGCCGAAGCAAGCGCCAATGCCAAAGATGAGGAAGAAGAGGCCCAGGGGCATCAGGGGCCCGGCTCCAATGTTGTTGCTGTCGGCCATGGCAAAGATGACAAACTGGAGAATCGTGCTGGCGACAAACTCGGAGAAGAACATGCCGGTCCGGGTCATGAAGGGGGCAGGGTAGGTGCAAAAGACGCCGGCGGTGGCATTGGGGCCGCTGACGGTGCGGATGCCCGCGCCGCCCTCAAAGGCGTCAATGGCAGAGCGGTAGTTGCCGTAGACGATGGCGGCGCCGACCATGGCGCCGAGGAGCTGGGCCAGCGCGTAGACTGGGAATTTCCGCCACGGGTGGCCGCGATACACGCAGTTGGCCAGCGTCACGGCCGGGTTGATGTGGCCGCCCGACTTGCCGCCAACGTATACACCAAGCATGACGCCGATGCTATTTGCCCATTGTTAGTAAATCAGTCAAGACCGGCTCGCCATGGGAAGAAGGAAAAGGGTTTTCCTCAACTCACCCCCAGCCCCATGAAATACTCTGGTAGTTGCCCTTGGTGCCGTTGCTGAGAACGACTTGGGCAACGACGCCGTCGCCAAACAAGAGGAGAATCATGGTTCCAAAGAATTCGGAAAACGCATCCTGCCAAATGGACCGAATCTTGGGCCATCGAGGCTGCTCCTCGACGGGGATCATGTCAGATCCGGACATGGGCTCATCGTGAATGACAGACGCTCCCATGTCGACCTTGATGACGGGTACAGATTTGCCAACGGATGATTCTGACACCGAGTCCTGGGTCGGTGGAAGAATGGACATGAGTACTGCTGCCCCGGGAGGATAGAGACAGACAAGAGGCCGGTGATGATGGATGAGGCAAAAGATGGCCGAATTGAAGATGCCGCGGCAAAGTTTAAAACTTGTGCGACACGGGGCGGGCCAAGTAGTATGTCGGGTATAAAGTGGGAACGCGAAATAAATAAGCGTCTAGTCTGACAACAGACGGATGCGTCGGGGCGACAGGTTGGAGACTTTGACGTTTTTTCCAAAGTTGCATCGGATGGGGGGACGATGAGACTATTATGTATCCCCACGGGGAGTTGAAGAACGTGGAGGCGAAAAAGAGACCGTTGGGAGAATTAGACAGCTTGGGGTCAAGAAAGAACGGGGCTTGGGTACAGTATGATGAGACAGAGACAAGCTCGAAAGTCTAGTTGCTTGTAGTTTGGATAAACAACAAATGAGGGGGGTTCAACCCGAGAGGGGCTTGGGCGTGTGCCTCTTGGGGATGTGGTGATCAAGACGACGACCAGGCCACGATTAGACTTGACATCTCGAGCTGGTGCGCCCCGGACGCTCGCGACGAAGCGGGGAGCCGCATGCCGGCCCTGGACGACAAGGTATGGTGTAGGGAGAGGGCAAGCAAGGGCATGACTGAAGAAGCACGGCGTCGAAGGACCGACCAGTTGACCTCATGAGGTGTTGTGGATCGTCGTTCGGTGGTGCCGCGGGCAAGCGACAACAAAAACCTGCGGGCACAACCACCAGTTCCGGACGACGGGGCCATCCATGTGTGGATATCCACCTAGTAGTCTGCTAGGCCGCCGAGATCAAGCGTTCTTCGCGTCAATTCCTGTTTGGCTGCCCTGGACGCCACGGCCAAGCCATCTCGGCGCCAGAGCGCGGCAGCCACAGCTTGTTCGAATTTCTACAGCAAGATGCAAGTATGTACATACATACATGCATACATGCAGCAGATACATACGTCGACGTCTCTGCCCAACATGGCCCGATAGCCTGTTGCCAACCCCTTCCAGGATCCATCACCACCCCCAGTCAGCCGCCCCGTATCGCCCGCCGCGCGCCAAACTTTGCGGATCATTGTTCAAAACGCATTCAGACGCCAGTGTTTTGCATTCTTCAACCTCGCCTGTGGCGCCCCGACGTGCTTGGCCAAATCTCCAAGGCCTCAGGTACCAGACGTTATGCTCGGCATCACGAGATGCGCGTCTCTCTCCACGCGCGCCAACAGAACACCAAGACAGACATGGGCGCACGCCTTGAAGGGGGGGTTGGTCACTTTCCCAGTGCAGTCTTTTGTGCGATGCATCTTCGGCCACATTGGCCGACTCGGGACGCAATGCAACCCCGACTGATGGCGCAAAAAACGCAAAGGTCCCCGTTTAATACTAGCACCAATTCCTCGGCCCATATTGATCCTACATGTTGTGTTTGCGGCGCGGGTGTTTTCGGCTTCCTGCAGTGCCACTCTCAGTTTGCCGCCGCCTTGGACCGTGTTTATGTACTGCCATGGCGGCGTCCCAGAGCACGTTTGTCAAGGCACTTTTTTGACCGCCTCGGATTCTTGTTCAGACGAAAAGGAAAAAATAACCATAATGCGTGGATAATAAGACATGCATCCAAGATCGATCCCAATGCAGAAAGGATCCAAGCAAACCCGAAATCTCGGACGGGACCACCGAGAAGATACAATGTCTGACCATCAAAGGTCCGTATTCTAGAACGCCACACTTGCTTTCTCTGGCCCCTGGTGTCTTTCGTTCCCCTTCCGTTCGCCCAACATGGCCGAGCATGTGGCTTGTTTCTCGATTTACTCCGTATAGCGTGTGAGAAAATGCTGGCATTGGCTCGCTCAGCCCTGCCCTTTCGGGGTCGAATGAAGGTGAGAAACGCGGCGCTTTCTAGACGACGCCCCAGGAACATCCAAACAGCCTAAACATGTAAATTTAGCAGAGGTGACGGTCGGTATTTTCGACCGTATGATCGACGCTACCATACATTAGGTACCTAGGTACATAAGCCTTGCGTCTGGCGCCTGCGCTCTCAGTTCCACGGGCCAATCCCTCATGCACATACCGATCCGGCCACAACAGACTGGCCTGGCCTGATGGTGTGCGATCCGCCCGCGGTTCTGCAGGAAAGGAGCAAACCTACCAATCCAGTTGAGGAGCTGCAAGCCCAATAAGCTTCTAAGTTCTGGGACTGTTTTCTTGGGTGTGGAGGCCAAGTACATGTTGCATCCTCAACGCTGGCCAGGGGTGCCTGCGCTGCGGCAATGGCGTTGTACAGAACAAGCCGCCGCTACGTGTCAAGAATTGCTTTTCGCACCGTTAGCCCATCATCACAATCGAAGACAAGTGTGAAACTCTCTCTCACCTGTGATTGCTCAGTACCTAACATTTCACCGACAGCGACCGAGGCTTGCTTATTTATGGCCTGCGTGGCCAGCCTGTGCCGTCTTGTCACGCAGCAAGACCACATATGAGCATCCAACATGTCTCAACCTCTCATGAAAACATGGCCAATGTGCTGTTGTCTGGCCGTGGCTTTGAATAGCCCAGGTGCCCAGGTACAGCCCTGAAGCCATCCGTCTACTCCGTTCCTTCATGGTCCATAATCGATCCAGCTTTCGGACGTTGGCGGGTCCATCCGGTGCACTCGGGTCTGAAAGACCGAATCTCCCAAACCGCAATCGTTAAAGACGCCTCAAAAGTGCCCACACGACGAATCCCAGTCTCCCCACACAGATGACCGCCCAGCAGTGCCCACGGCCATCGGGATGCTGCATCGTCGCATGGCAAGTAACGAAACGTGCCCGGTGGGCCAGACGAGGTTTCTGGCCAATTCCACTGTGGACCTGCTATTGACTGACCGAGGAGCCAGATCGCTTCACACCGAGACGCTGGCCGTGTTCCTGAGAACCATGCTCCAGATCACCCATCGTGACATGTTCCCACAAATTCCGGATTTCTTCTCCCCTCGTGACACGGAGCGTCGGTTTGGCACTACTCGTGTCCCTGCCTCTCCCCCACACCGCCCCAGCCGGTGATGATGCTGGTCGTAAAGTGACTGGGGTACGGAGTAGTCGCTCATGCTAGTTTCTCAAACATGGGGAAGGCTTGGTGGCTTGTGGCGGGGATGGGGATGAGGATGAGGATGGGCATGCCATTTGTGCATTCAGCCACCGGAGGGCGAGAAGCCATCTCCCAACTAGAGAAGTGATGTCAGCTCTCAAGTTCACCGGGTGTGAGGCGTCTCCGCATTGTACACAGCACCACGGGGTTTGGGGGTTTCTCCTCCAATCGAGGTCCGACTCCGAGCCGACCCAACAGCTCACGAGCTTTTGCCCAAACACTCTGGACAAGTGCCATGTGAAAGAACCCTGTAGTTGAGCCTTCTTCGCGAGAGTATTTACTCCTCCATCTTGCGCATCCTTAAAACCTCTGTTTCTTTTTTTCTTTTCCTCGTCTCATCTCGTAACCCCAGCTTATTTGTTCGATACCCCTCCACATCCCATTTTCCCCACGTCTCATTCCGAGCTGTCAAGCTCCCCGCATTGTCTCTTCAACCGTAGCATTAAGCTTGCGGGTTTCATTCTGTGCTTGGTTTTCCCGGCTTCCCAAGTGCTACCAGATTTTTTTTTTCCTTTTTTCCCCTTGGCCTTTGAATGCTCTGTTCCATTATTTGTCAAGCATTTTGCAAATCCAAAGACACATCCACAACCATGTCTCCCAGCGCTTCTACAACCTTCATTGGTGCCATTGACCAAGGCACCACCAGCACTCGGTTCCTCATCTTCAACAAGAATGGCGAGGTTGTAGCGCTGCATCAGCTCGAGTTCAAGCAGATCTATCCTAACCCTGGGTTAGTGTGCCCGAGACACTCTTTTCCACATTTGCCGTTTCAATTGACTAACCTCATGCTTACCGCAGCTGGCACGAGCACGATCCCGAGGAGATCATCTCTTCCGTCGAACAGTGCATTGACGGGGCTGTTAAGAAGTTTGAGACTCAGGGACACTCTCGTGAGCAGATTGTGGCCATTGGCATCACCAACCAGCGTGAGACCACCATAGTCTGGGACAAGACCACCGGAAAGGCTCTGTACAACGGTATTGTCTGGACCGATACACGCAACGTTGACATTGTACGCCGCCTCAAAACCCGCATTGGCGCCGGAGAGCTCACTGGTCGCTGCGGGCTCCCTCTATCTACCTACTCATCAGTCGGCAGACTTCTGTGGCTTCTTGAGAACGTACCCGAAGTCAAAGACGCGTACGAAAAGGGCAACTTGGCCTTCGGCACCGTCGATTCTTGGCTGGCGTACAAATTGAACGGTGGCATCACTCGTAATGTCCATGTGTCCGACCCATCCAATGCGTCGCGAACCATGTTCATGAACATCCATACTCTGGACTATGATGCTGAGCTTATTGACTGGTTCCGAATTGACCGTAACAAGGTTGCTCTGCCCAAGATCGTCCGATCTGCCGACGCGGAAGCTTATGGCTCGCTTGCCACCACTAGCCTCAAGGGTGTCAAGATCATGGGATGTCTAGGTGATCAGTCTGCTGCTTTGGTTGGCCAAAAGGGCTTCAAGCCTGGTCTGGCCAAGAACACATACGGCACCGGCTGCTTTTTGCTGTATAATGTTGGCGAAAAGCCCGTCATCTCTACCCATGGACTTCTTTCCACTGTCGCATTCGACTTTGGCGAGGGTAAGACCATGTATGCTCTGGAGGGCAGCATTGCAGTGGCTGGATCTAGTGTCAAGTTCCTTGTTGACAACTTTGGTTTTATTGAGTCATCCTCCAAGCTGAGCGCTTTAGCCGAGACTGTTGAGGATAATGGCGGCTGCACTTTTGTCACTGCCTTCAGCGGCCTCTTCGCTCCTTATTGGATTGACGATGCCAGAGGTACCATTTTCGGCATTACCGCTTACACACAGCGTGGTCACATTGCCCGAGCCACGCTTGAGGCGACCTGTTTCCAGACCAAGGCTATCCTCGATGCTATGGC